CCCCGTCGACAGAATCACGCCGGCGGCGAACGCTTTTATCACGAAGAAGAAATTCCTCTCCGGACTCAGCGCCGAAACCCTCCTCCCGACCACCGGAAGACACACCCCGACGGCGCTCGCCACCAGAATAGCGGCGATGGCAGCCAACTTGTACTTGAGGGCCAGGCTCCTGCTCCGGTCGCCATCCTCCTCCGCCTCGCACGTACAGTCGGCGAGCACCGCCGCCGTGGCCGGGAGAAGAACCACGGCGGCGGCCCAGATGAACAGATTCTTCATCTCAGATTTATAGATCTTTTTCAAACCAACAGTTTTCCGATGCTGAATTCTTGATTTTTCAAACTCATTTGCAATATTTTTTCTTGGATCATACTCAGCGTGTCTTCTTTCCCGTATGATGGATCTTCCGCTGTGTTTTTTCTGTGTTTAAGAATTTCGTGTGGCGTTTATGCATTTGTGATGATGATTTCTCTATTTTATTTTTGTGGGTTTCAGTAATATAACGATGCTCTGTTTTTAGGTTTCAAAAATATATTTACATTTGATTCTTTAGTTATCAATGCGATTTTTATGTTCTTATGTTTTTTGTTTTGTTGGTTGAGTAATTTCATGGAAGTCTCGGTTGATGTTATTACATCTAATTCGTTCTCTTGGTTATCCAATTATTTATTTGTTTTTAAAAAAATTCCAATTCTGATTTTCCGGCCTGTTCTTTTGGCAGAACTTGTTGAGAAGTGCTTCAAGTGAGGGGTAAACATGTCCAAATAAATGCAAATAATAGTTTAAGATGTGAAAAAGAAAAGGTCAACCCGCCACATCAACAACAACTAACGGAATGGAAACGAAGGGGTCATTTTGTTACGTTTTGTAGTTTAAGGAGGTGTTTGCGACCAACCCTATAGTTCAGGGGTGCAAACTGTACTTTCCCCTTTCAATTATGTTGTTTATAAAAATGTCATGTGGTTATGAATTAAGTGCAGTTGATACAAATGTTGTGTGGTTTTCTTTTTTTTCTTCAGAAAGACGCGGTGGATAAGACGGGGAGATATAACAAACTTGATCTCCCGTATGACGAAGAAGTGGTTTTAATGAATGATGCTCCGCAACAGAAGAGTGACAATGTCGACTGCGGGGTCGTTGTGTGCTACATTGTGAGACAATATTTTGAAAATAAAATTATTACCTAAGCACAAGCGTGAAGGATATTCCAAACATGAGAAAAGAGATCGCCGAGACGGTACTGAATGGGTATTCTTTTGGTTTTTTTTTTTTTTTTTTTTTTTAGGCATATTGCTTTTGGGATTTTTTGTGGAATGCAGTTGTTCAGCATACGCTTTATATATCGTTTAGACGTGTGACATATGATCATGGTGGTTAGTTAATGTATTGTTTGATTTTCCTGTTTTTGATGGGTTTGTTTAAAAATCTCCGGTTGATCTATTGGTTTTATCTTACATATTACTTAATGTCGTTTGTTTAAAAGTCTCCGTCATAGGTAAGTATGAACTTTGATTTTATATATTCATAATTGCGTTATGACTGTACTACTATAAAATAAATTTTACTGTTAACTTTGATGAACAATATTGATGTCAAATCATTATCGCTCGCAAGGATGCAGTCGTCGTACACGTCAAACTTATTAGTCAAAGAGAAGTTACATTCATTGATCGCGTCCCACTTCGACCAAATATATTTTATTAATGAATCAAAATTCATGCAATCAGACCATCGCTTTATTGCAACAATCCCTCGAAACCTCAACACAAATGTCACGTTGGAATCCATGAAACTGCACAAAATAATTACATGATAAATTTTGAAGAAAAAAAAACATGCTATTAAAAAGGGAAAAAAAATACTACCACGATTAAGAACATACATTATAAATCTGACACGTACAATGATAATAATTTTAAAACGGACATGTAACTTTTTAATCCGGCAATATATCAAAACCACTCTGACATTTTAAAGTATCGATCGAATATATGCTACAACAGCATAACAATGTTGGAGAAAACTCATGTGCATTCATATTAAAATTAATTCGAAAAGTGCTAAACCCATGACTATTACGCACTATCATGGTTTGCGGAAAAGCACGCAAACCACTATGTATTCTATTGAGACGATTGTACTGCATATTAGACTCTATATTTTCTTGACACGAAAACCACTCTGTATTTTGTTGAAAACCACTGAATGTTGCTACATAAATGGGAAATTCTGAAAATCACTTTGTATTTTATTGAAAACCACTTTTATTTTGCTACGTAACTGCATTCATATAAACATAATTTTGAACCCAGAAAAAACCATGACTATTATGGATATCGGCTATTATGTGTGAAAACCACTCTGTATTTTCGAAAGGTTCGATCGGCTATATGCTAAAAACCACATAACAATGTCGGGGAAAAACAGTTGCATTCATATTAACATAATTTTGCACAAAATAAAAAAACCATGAATATTATGGGTGGTGTCGGCTATTATTTGTGAACAGGGGCGGAACCAGGATTAGAAAGTAGGGGGGGTGAACTAAAAAAATAGGTTTATACTGCGAATTTTTAATTAAAATGATATATATCTATATATATATATATATATATATATATATATATATATATATATATATATATATATATATATATATATATATATATATATATATATATATATATATATATATATATATATATATATATATATATATATATATATATATATATATATATATATATATATATATATATATATATATATATACCGAACCGAAAACCGAACCATTATTGAAACCGAACCCATAATTTTATGAACCGAAAAGGAACGAAACCGAATCGAAACCGAGAAGGAACCGAACCGCAAGAAACCGATCAGTTTGGTTTTTGGTTCCTTAGGAACCGGACACTTCGATTCCGATTCCAGTTTGTGGCTAAAACCGAACCGAACCGTTCTCACCCCTAGACTTTTTGTTGAAAACCAATGTCAGACAATAAATGTTATTTAACTAGTAATAAATGATAATTAGACATTATTATTAATTAAGTTGATTTGGATCTTTACCGATCAAAATCCCAATTCGACACATCAATTATATATTTTTTTAATTTTTTTTTCTTTATTTCGTTTTTCTATGTTTTGTTAGTCATATGTCAAAGCTTATTAGGAAAATATAATTTTTTTTCTTTAAGAAAAAACTAGGAGAGTTCATTAATGTAATAATTTAGAGCTTAAATATCTTGAATATAGCTAGACAAAACGTTTGAAGTAAAGGACTTCATTGAAGACAACCTAGCAATTTCGTGACCTGCTTGATTGTTTTCCCTCATGACATGACAAACTTTGAAAGTTTCGAAACCTAGCGTCAATCTCTTAATATCATCGATAATATTACTGTTAACCGTAAATTTTCACATCTGCAAAATATAATAAAAACACATGACAAGAAAATAGGGAACAAATAATTTATTAATCAAAACGATGTGGATTACAATCTCCGTAATTCCCCTGATTCTTCTCTCGTATTCTAATTTTGATTCAAGGGCTTAAAAGCTTGTTCTTGAATCGAACATATGATTTCCTATCACGAACACCTCGAATTTAAATATGTTATAAATTCGAGGAATCAAACATATGATTTCCTATCACGAACACCTCGAATTCAAATATGTTATGAATTCGAGTCGGAGGCTCGAGACGTGAGCTTGAGAGCTCGATATGTGTCTGTGTGAGTCTGATTTTTGCATGGACCGAATGGCTCTTTTTATAGGCACGAGATAGGGTTTTGACTTGTAGCATGGGCCGATGGAGTTGGATGCTGTCATTTGGTTCATTGGGCTAGATTTGTGCCCAATTAGATAATCCGTAAAATAAGAATTTATTACTTATTTAAGGATTAATCTATTTGTAAAGCCCAAATATGTTATGAACTTAGATTTGAGACCCAATTAATAACCGATTTATTTGGCCATTAATTGGTGATTTTTTTCGAAATTTCGGTGTCAACAATTACCATAGAATGTCCGAGAATCCTCCTCTCCGTTAATAGCTGCAATAATTGTGCTGCAATCGCCTTCCAAAAATACTCTATTCCACTGGTGACCACGGGCAAATTCTAAGGCTTAAAGAGCAGACATTGCCTCGGCTGAAGTAGAGTCGAGGAGAGATGAGCTCCAAGTAGAAAACCAACATAGGCAACTTCCATCAGATGACCTCGCCAAACCACCCAAACCGCAGCCGTGGTCAGCCGAAGTTAGAGAAGCATCAAAATTAATTTTAACTTCATCTATTGGAGGTGAAGCACCTCTGCAGCAGCAGACCCACGCACATCTGCAAGGAATTTCTTTGCCAACACGATAACGTCAAGAGCCGATCGACGAACACATCTTCAAAAAACCTCTTGTTATGTAGTCCAACAAATAACTATACAATATTCAAAATCGGATTTGTCGATTTTATCCTTCATATCCATAATCCAGTCGACAAAAGAGAAATCATTCGGCCAGTGTATCGACCACGCCACTCCACTAAGATAGACTGTGAATGGCATCTTCTTCACCTACACCACGTATTTTGCTTTAATTGTTGTTTAATTTGCAATTAATTCCCATTCTTTGAAAGAATTTATGGTCCCGAATTCGTATTATACAGAGATGTTATCTAAAATGTTATGACACTTGAGACAACATGCAGCGGAAATATAAAGATTAAAAGACAATGCTCAGAATTAAAAATGTTCACAAGTAAAGACTTGTGAACTTGCCCTTTACAGGACGGAAAAATATATTAAAAACAGTATTCTAAGAATACAAACAGAAGAGTGCGAAAACTTCTTCCTTATGAATGAATCTTTTTCAAGATCACTCTTACAACCAAATCTAGATACTAAAAGAAAAATATTAAAAATTCTAGATTTCAAATAATGTACTCATAAAGAGTACGTACAACAGATCCTAGAAACACTCTAAAATTCTCGAGATAAATACTTCAGCTCTCTATTTTGTGTTCTCGAAATCTATATTAATCTTGAGTCTTGAGTTTGGTATTTATAGACTTGCCAAGCTTCCACTCTTCAGCCCATGATCTGCAAGAAAACCAACCACAAGAGCACTCAAGATAATGGGTTAGTGGGTTAGTTAGGAAGTTAAGATAAATTCCATAATTAAATCCACTAAGCACTACTTAACCCTACTTAGCCCACTAACTAAGATTTAGTTTAGAAGTTAAGAAATGTTAAAAACACATAGTGAAATTAATTCACGTGTTTCAAACTCCCCCTTTTTAACTTTCTGATCAAAACTAAATCGTAGTCAAAGACTCCCCCTGAG